CAGAGAGTGGAAAGGAGCGGGGAGGGGAAAAAGGAGGGGTGGGAGAGAGAAAGGGAAACATCAATGTGAGAGAGACACATTGGTTGGCTGCCTCCTGAACACACCCCGACTGGGGGTGGGGATCAGACCTGCACCTCAAGTAGGCGTCCTTGACCGGGAATTGAATCAGAGACCCTCCAGTGCGCAGGCCAATGCTCTAACCACTGGGCCACCAGCTAGGTTAATTACTAAAAGTATTCCTGTCTCCGCTGAAGTGTAGCTTTTATTCAGAGACACTTCTCCTGACCAGCCCAACTAAAACAGCACCCCAAGCCCCACCCTTTCCAGCCTTTATCTCACTTTATTATTTTTCTAACACTTATCACCACTCAGCTGGTTCTGTTTTCATTTCCCTGTTTATTCTCTGTCCCCCTCCGCAGGATGGTGGGTGGGGATTGTGCCCATTGACCAAAGCAGCAGGGGCATGCAGAGCTGCTGACACTTTGTTGGTGGAATGAATGTGTATACAACTGTAAAGATATGCAAATGTTTCACATTTAAAAGTTTCTCATTGCCCCATTCTCTCCCTAATCCTACTCCTTAAAACCGAGTGGCGATTGCCAAACCTTTCCAGGCACATATATGTACAAACACATTTTCAAAAAAAAAAAAAAGCAGGATCAATTTGTATACCTGCTGCTCTATAATTTGCTTTTTCCCTCTCACTGATAGATCAGGGCCATCTTTCCACCTCAGAGCATAAATAGATCTGTCCTGTTCTTTTTTTTTTTTTTTAAATATATCTTTATTGATTTCAGAGAGGAAGGGAGCGGGAAAGAGAGATAGAAACATCAATGATGAGAGAGAATCATTGATTGGCTGCCTCTTGCACGTCCCCTACTGGGGATCAAGCCCACAACCCGGGCATGTGCCCTTGACCAGAATCGAACCTGGGACCCTTCAGTTTGCAGGCTGACGCTATATCCACTGAGCCAAACCAGCTAGGGCTGTCCTGTTCTTTTTGATGGCTGTATAGGGTTCCATGGTATGAAGTTACCCTAGTTTATTTAACTAGTCCCCCACTGATGAAGTTATTGATGTCAGATGTTTGCTGTTACCACCTATGTTGTACCAAATATCCCTGCCTATGAACCGCTGTGTACTCTGTGGGCCCAGTGCCCAGAAATGGAAATGCAGGCTGGAATGTTCGGAAGGGAGCGTAGGAGAGAGAGAGAGAGAGAGGAGCTGAGAGGCTGGCAGGAATTCAGGGGTGTTCTGTGGAAGAGGCCCCCCTGCACTTTGCCGGGCACTGTGTGAGTTATCAGAGGAGAGAACACAGGGGCTTTGGCCCACTCCAGGGACTGTGATTAGAAGAGATGCAAACAAAGATTTCAAGAAGAAAGAAAGGAAAAGGGAAAAGAGAAGACAATGCAGAGACGGTGCCCGGAATGAGGCAGCTTCCTGAGTGGGTGTTGAGGCTGCCAGGAATGTGTCTTAGTTTAGTCCAGTGTAGCCACTGGTGTGCTGTGAAGCTTGGGACAAGCGTCCTGACCTCTCTGAGCCTCAGTGTTCTCACTGATATATTGAGGAGAGTAATACCTATGTCACTGATAGGACAGATGGGGGTCTTGCATGGGAAAGTTTGTAAATGGTAACAGGCAATGTGTTATTTCATGTCACTGCTGGCAAGGAGCATTTTGAAGGCAAACGAATGGAAGGGGAGAAGGGTATTTCTGGTTTTATTTTCCTGGGGGAAAATTAAAATGCATATTTCTAGGACATTCTTTGCTCTGAAGTCAGTTTACCCTTTTGGGGGGAGGGAGGAGGAGTACATCTGAAACTAAGATAATGTATGTCAATTATATCTCAATTTAACAAAATAAACACCTAAATTTCATTCAGAAAGTCAGGGGCATCTTAAAATTCAACATAAATGATACCAAATATACTTACTAGTATAGCTCTGTTCCTCTGAAGAAAATAGCAAAAACAGCAGTATTGTTCATTTATAAGAACCATAACTATTATTTCATCAAAAAAAGTCAAAATAAGCATAAGACAAATGGCAATACTTTATTTTATGGAACAGTTCTTTGAACAGACAGTTCAAAATGCCCCAAACTACCAGATTTTGCTGCGTGTAGAACACACACACACACACACACACACACACACACACACACACACACGGCACACAAAGCAAGACGGTGACGTTCGAGCTAGCCCTCTGCCTGCAGAAGGCTCTGCTCCTAGGGAGAGACTGCTCTGTGTGTCTGACGGGCCATGAACAAGGGTCAGGGCAGTGTTAATGGCATGGGGTCTCTGACCATGCTCTAAGAAAGAGTGGAAAGGGGACTCACCTTCCCACTTTGGGGTATAATGCATGTCCTGAAGCAACTCAGACATGCTCTGCACTTAGGAAATCCCAGACAAGGCTCCTCTTTTAGCCGGGAAAATTAAACGGCACACTCTAGTCATCTCGATGGACAAAGGCAGAGCCAGGGGTGTGGACCCAAGTCTCCACTCCCTCAAGGTGGGCTTTTGCAACAACTCAAAATGTTTCTAGAACAACTGCCATTTATTTAATAAAAAATCATGGTCTCCCTCCTCCTTGAAGCGCCCCCAGATTCCAGGCCTGGAATGGAGGAGGCTCCTCTGGTCCTCACCACCTCTTCTCTAGAGCTTGTCTAACCTAAACTCACAGCTTCCTCAGCCCGGCTGTGTCTGGAGGGCATCTCTCATCCTAGTAACTCCACCTACAGCAGAAACAGCTTACGTCCAGGGTTAAAGCTCGGGTCATTCCACTCACAAGTTATAAGACCACTCCCCATTCCTGAGCCTCAGTTTTCATATCTGCAAAGTGGGAATCACTGTCCCCCCTTCTCCAGGTGATTTGAAGCTGGGGATTTTGCAACCTGCAGGGCACACGACAGGGGTGGGCTATGATTACTGCTGTTCTAGGCCACCAGCTGACTTTCTACCCCTAGAAATCTGGACAAGACAAGCAGAAGCAACTTTGGAACATTCATTTCCTTACCATCTTTCTTTATATTCAGTCTTCTTAACTGAGAGACCTCCTCCATTTCTCCTTAGGAACAAGAAATCAGTGTTTAACTTTGACACAGGACGGCAGGTGGGGTTTTCTCTTTCCCGCCTCACTGAGAAGGGCCCTCCTGGCTTCTTTTTCCCGAGTCAGAGGACACTCCCTGCAGGACCCATCAGGGCCAAGATGTGAAGGTGGGGATGGCTGTCGTTGGGACCCCCACTGACACCTCCTACCTCCACAGGCTTCAGTCTATGCTCTGTTCCATGTCCCCTGAGCTTGGAGGTCCCCTTCCTGAATCGTTGGGCGACACCCTGGCTGGTGATGGCATCCCTGCTGGGACTGGTCCACCTTCCCAGGATGGCTGTGATCTCTCCCACCCCCTGGGATTCAGGCCGCCTGCCGCTCTCCTCTTGGGGCTTGAGTACTTACCACTTGCTGGGTCTGAGCCTCTCCTTCGGAGTCCTGGAAGTTAGAAATTCAGTATTAGTACCCAGCCCAGCCTGAGTCCTTAACAACGGCCCACACCCTAGGGAAGGCCATCGGTGGCCTGTGAAAATGCTCCTGTCACATTGTCCACGCCCAGCAGCTCTTTCTATCAATCCATTGCTGGTTATAAGCTCTTTGCCTCTTTTGGACCTCCTTTCTGATCTCCACTGGCTCCCTGCCTCATGCCACAGCCAGCCCTGCTGCTTGCTGAACCCCGGTCAGAACCCCAGGCCCCCAAGTGGACTTGGAGTCCCTGTGTTACAGCCATGAACCCTGATAACAGTTGGCAATGCCCAGACCTCATTCAACACCAGCACCGACCAACGCTCTCCTGAAACTAGACACTCACCTGACTCTCCAGAGGGCACCACCTCCCCAGGAGCACCTGCACAGAAGGAAAATCCATGATCACAGATCCATTATCCTCATCCAGAGACTTTCCGTTTGATCTGATGGGTTACGTGGGGACTGGAGCGAGCTGGAGGGTTCCTAGTTCATCTACAGCAGTGGTTCTCATCCTTCTGGCCCTTTAAATACAGTTCCTCATGTTGTGACCCAACCATAAAATTATTTTCGTTGCTACTTCATAACTGTAATGTTGCTACTGTTATGAATCGTAATGTAAATATCTGATATGCAGGATGGTC